TCCAGAAGCAGATAGAGACTAGCTTCAAGAATCTGGACAAGGCAAAGATTTTTAACCAGGATACAAATAGCACTGAACATAATGTTGAAGATTAATCCCCTACAGAAAAGAAATAACACCAGTGCTCGTCAAATGTTTCCATGAAATAGAAAGGGTAGGAATGCTTCCAAATTCATTCTGTGCAACCAGTATCACCCTGATACCAAAATCAGATAATGACACAATAACAAAACAACAAACCAATGTCCTTGATAACCACACATGCAAAAATCCTCAATGAAATTCTTGCAAACAGAATCCAACAGCTCATTATGAAAGATCAAACACGATGATCGAACTGGTTTTAATCCAGAGTTGCAAGGTTGGCTCAATGTATGTAAATCAATACATGTATGTAAATCAATACATGTAATATACCACATAAATAGAATCAAGGATAAAAATCACACGATATCTCAACAGATGTGGAAAAAGCCTTTAATAAAATTCACTATAAAAGCCCTGACAAAAGTAGGTATAGAAGGGCCATGGAATAAAGCTGCCTATCAAAGCCGTCGTCATACTAAATGGCTCTAAATATAAAATGGAGTCAAAACTCCTTTCCTGTTTTTGGCTTTCTGGGAAACCTCTGTCAAGGCCCCAAGGCAGGAAGCTCCACAGACAAAGGAGATGATCAGGTATACACAGAGCAGTGAAAGAGAAATATATGTTAACATTCACAAAACTGTATTTCTTGTTCAATGAGGAAAATGACTAATTCCAATGCAATTGCATAACTTGGTCACTTCAAAATAAAATAATTTCTAAAATTTATGAAATAGAATTTAATATAAAATGATTCTGTGTGTGTGCGTGTAAAACTTAGTTCTGAATTCTGGTAACTACTAGAGCAGTATTTCAACTCCTTTAACCAAGAAATTTCCCTCAGCAAACCACCGTTACAGGATCATACAGGATATTCCACAAGTCTTCACCTTTGTGATTAGTGGCAAGCAGTTAGGAGGGGATGCAGTCATGGGAAGTAGCTAGATTTTCTTTCCTGTTAGCACTGTCATGCGTTGCACTATGTCCTCAGGGAAAAAAATTAACGACCTAGCCCATAGTGCCTCAGAGTATGATCTGACTTGGAAAGGGTATTAACAGATGCAATCGAGTTAAAATGAGGTCACTGGGTGGACCGTCATCCATACAACTGTGTCCGTATGAAAAGGGGGAGTGTGCACACTGGGACCATCGTGCAGAGCAAAGACAGCAAGGAGATGGAGGGAGAAAGCCTGAGCTGCACACCCTGAGGAGGCCGGCATGACGCATCTCCCTCACAGAGCTCAGAAGGCACCAATCTTGCCAACACTTTGATTCTGGATATTTCAACTCCAGGACTGTGTGACTATAAATTCTGTGGTTTAGGCATCCTTGCTTGGGGTAGCCTTAGAAAAGTAATGCAGGGATTAACTCTGTATCTGTCTTGCTGTGTTTGGAAATCCTTGACAATGTGTGAACTTAGCCACTAGCGGTAGCATACTGCAAGGTGGTAACGTGTCCTTGGAGAGAAAGGACAAGAAGGTTTTTCATATCCTTTGTCCTTGGATAAGTTACCAGTGCTCCCAGATGTCCAGAAATGCGGGGCTCTGTGGCAGACACCCAGCTAAGGCTGGAGGGAGATGGAGACAGCTTGCACTGCTGCAAGCCAGTGGAAAAGCGGTCAAAAAACATTTTCCCCCACAAACAAAATATCTGAATGGAGGAAAAATGAGTTTTCTGAGAAGATGGCTGGCAGGAAAAGGGATTTCTCAGATCACAAAGAAGACAACCCCCCTCCTCATCACCACTGAAGGCAGACAAATGTTTCAAAAGAAGGGAAAGCTGCTAGGCGTGGATTAAAATTAACCACAAAAAGAGATGTCTTCATCAAAGCCAGTTAATTTTATTTCATTCTAAGGGGAGGATACTTAGAATTGGTATTCATTAGCATCTACTCACAGGTATGCATGTTCAGTGAACTGTCTCTGAAGGAAGCGTCTAGCTAAGCAGGGAACACGACGGGGTCAGGACTCTATTGCTCCTGGAGGTTCAATGGTGGCCACATGCACGTAGTGAAGGGGCAAAATCCACAACAAGAAAAACCTGTGGCTCTAAAGTGAAATATCCCAGCACGACAGTGTTGTGACGAGAGTCATCCACGAGAAACAGGTTATTCGGCAAAACAAGAGTACACTGTGGGAAATGCACTGGAAAGAGGAAATGGTACAATTTTCAAGAATGAGCCAACCATGAACGTACAGCTTCTTGAAGAACAGAACAAGAAAAAAAATTTTGTCAGTGCAGTACAATTTGCTAGATTTCTGAATCTGAGCAATAATAACTAGAACGTAATCTAGCATACCACTGATATCTGTACACTTTATAGGTAAGACTGTAGTATTTCCAAATGCACTTATTAGGAGGAGTGAAGCAAGGCCTGCTGCGTGAGCCGTATGGAGGAATGGGACTCCACATGGCCCAGTGCGTGAACGACTGCTAAGTCAGCACCGAGGAAGCAGAATTCATCTTCAGTGCTTCATCCTCTCTCAGTGGGGGTTCATGGAAAGACAAGTACACAGAGTAGTCTGTCACTGGCGACCACACTCACTGTCGCGCTCCCACTGGGAGCCCGTCACTCAATGGGCCAGGAAGGGATGAGTGGAAGCAAAGAGCTCCTATCTTAGCAACAACACAGGCTGGGCACTGGGACAACGTTCTGAACCCTCCACAAAACAGAAACAAAAAACAAACAGAAAACCAAAACACACACACACAAAATGGATGGGAGAGGGTATTTCCTAGAAACTCACATTATTTGGACAAGCTCCTAAGCCAGAAAAACATCAGAGTCATCCCACTTCATCCTAAAGGGCTCTGATTTGGCAAATTCTCCTCCACTGAGCATACCACATCCTTGAAGATCGTAGCTATTTATAAATGAGTCAGTTGTGTGGAACACCCTGCTTTACAAATACATTTTTAAAACAACCTTTTCAGTATAGAAAGCTCAACTTTCCAGAAATTGAAGTCCAGAACTGTTTGTTCAGTCTGAAAGCCAGAATTCAGAGATGGGAGAACAGAGGACGGGTATCAATGCAGACGCCGGCAGGCATGCTGTTACAATGAACTCCGTGAAGACGTCACTGTGTAATGTGGGTAAGAAGGTGTTGAATATTTTAATTACACAAGTGATACATAAAAGCATTCCTTTTAAAAATTACTCTTCAGAATTAGATGTCATAAGTGAAATTAAGATACTCCCTCAGAGCATCTGTCCCTTCTCTAACAGCCACTATTGTCTTCGTCTTGGGATGCAGCCTTCCAAATATTAAAAAGCATGTACATACACACAATCATAGAAACATAAATCCCTGTGTATGTACATTCTCCTACTTAGTAGTAATAAAAAATGTATCTTTAAGATCTAGCCATGTGGACAGGGTAATCAGTATCTTGAATACTAGTCTTTGAGGGTTTTCTCCAAGATATCATCATTCTAATGTCTTCTCAAGAAGAAACCTCCACATTGGCTTAAGAAGAACACAAATTCCCTCCATAGTCAATGAAAGAGAAAAAGATCTCTCTGTGTGTTTACTGCTTGAGAACTAAGCAGAAAAGCCCAGAGGAAGTAAGACAAGCCCAGAATTCATGCCATGACAATGGACCAGAGAGAGGGTAAGACAGATACTAATTATAGTTCCTTTCTAAATCTTTCACAATGTGATGGTAAGAGAAGGCTATGGAGTCAATGATTCAAGGATCTGACACAGAAGTCACAAGCTGAGATGTCTCCATGGGCTAGGCTGAGAAGGTAAGTGAGCACTGGAAGCAGGATGAACCTGTATCTTTCACGCTAGCGATGCCAGCAGGGGTTGCAGACTATGATGAACTAGAGAATGTGCCCAGAATAGAGGACAATGGCCATCTAGCTGCAGCCCACAGCAGCTATTGTAAAACGTAAGTTCACTGTCAGATCTTCCTGTTTTTAAAAAGCAGGAAAAAAAAATCCCTGATATTTTACTACAACTGTCTTGCTTTTTCAATGTTGACTATTTCAAAAATAAAACATTTGACCAGCCACACTGCAGGCAGAATTTGGCTCTCGGGAATTTGGATCACTTAGTAACTCTCATTTACCTCCGCATGTATTTCCTGGCTGACACAGCAATGTCTCAGTGAAACATTCTTTGACAAATTACTGTGCAGAACACAGAGTTTTTTGTTTTAAATGTTTTGGTTTTTGTTTTCCCATACTTGAAGATATCAGTGGCAATTAGGGTGATGTTTTTCTTTCCATTTACATTTTTGGAATGAGTATTCTAAAAAGAAAGAGGGCAAACCACCCACTGAATTATTATTTTCTTTTCTTAGGCATTTTCAAATTTATCAGAAGAATTTTAAACTGAGTCATTTTAGAAAAAGACTGCCTGCTATACTTCCTGCCCTTTCCGTTTATCAGAGTGGGGCTACAGGCTCCTCATGGTTCTAGGGAGGAAGTCTAAAAGTTGCTTCTAATGGCGCTCCTGATGTGACACAGCCTGGGGGCCGAATCCCTACTCTTCAATCAGCTGCTGCAGGACTGTGTGCTCAAAGGGTTAAGGACGGAAGCCAAGACCCCAGTCAGGAGAGCAAGCAAAGAGCCTCTGTCCTCTGCTCTGATTTGCGAGGATACTGGTTTAACCATTGCTCATTTTCACTAGACTCCAGAGATTTAAAATTGCGCATGGCAACTAGACGTTATGAATGCAAAAATCAATCTTTCCCCTATAAAAGTGAAGTCCCTTTCTTAACAAGCAGGGTTAAGGAGCAGACACTTGAGTGAGATAAACGATTTGTAGGAAGGGACTGGCGAGATGAAAATATCAATGAAACGTGCCATATTAAAACAACCACTGATGACCTCCTGCTCAACGAACCATTTTGATAATCAAGATGCTCCAGGCTCCTACGGAGGAGGTTTCTGTAGATGATCGTCCTACCTTGAAGATGAAGTCGGCCATCAGCGGTCCCGCGATCTTAAAGGTCTGCCTCTCCGAGCCCTTCTGAAATTCAACTGTTGTGTTTTCCACAACAAAGACTCCCGGGGTGTTAAAGCTGTGCTCTCCTTTGCTTCCTTGAAGGGTTTTTGATTCAATAACTAAAGTGTAAAAGTAAAATTTAAATAAGAAAGCTATCTTAAAAGTGTTCTCATGGAAGAAATGACATTTTATGAAGCACAATATCAGTACGTACAATGTACACAGTATCAAAATATCCACTCACTTCACATTCATTCATGTAGGTGGAATAAATATGTAACTATTTTAAGTTGCCTATAAAAAATTGCTAACAAGGGTGGGAGGTACAGTAAGTCTACTCACTGCTTTGGAGCCATTTCTAGTGTAAGGAGAAAGAGGAAACGTGTCTTTGTATTTTTTTCCATGATGTAGCTAAAACACACACAATGAACAAAGCCAGGTTTACTCACTACCTGTTCAGAAGATCTTACACTGAGTCCTTTATTTAGAAAAAATCACAATGAATTTGAAATTTCTTTTAAAAATCTTTTTATTTTGAAATAAGAATATATTCACAGGCAATTGCAAAAATAACATGGAGAGTCCCGGGTAACCCTTCCCAGTCTAGAGCAGAGCGGTGAAACCAGCAGACGGGTGGCACAGGGTGTGCATGTGGTTTGATGTCATTTTTCACACAGCACCACAATGCACATACAGAACCATCCCACGGCCACAAAGATCTCCTTTGTGTACGCCGCTCTTACTCTAATTTGCTTTCAAAGCGCTTTTAGGATGTCCTTCAGAAAAACGTTTCTCCACAGTTTGAACAAGATGATACTTCTATTTTACTTCAGCTCTTTCTTTCTTTCCCCCTTTCTTGACTCTGTCTTACTTTGGTAAGTCACCATACTTCGTAGAACTGGCCCCAAGCTGAAAGAAGCAATGGGGACATTCACAGCTGGGTGCTGGGGCACCTGTGTTTCTGGCCCCAGCTTTCCTCTAACTGGCTGCCATGGCTGTCACTGTCCCCGATCTAAAATGAGGAGTGAGAGCGGATGATTCCTGTGTCCAGCTCTGCCGTGAAACCTACACTCCATTCCGTGGTGTCGCAGCAGCCTTGACAAAGAACACAACAGAATCAAAACTCTATTCGACTTCAAACTTAAACGTGGAGAGCTAACAAAACACAAGATGGGCCAGCACAGGGAGCTCCGACCCACGGCCTGCTCGGCGCTGGCTCTTTTCATTCACTGGGTTTTCTCTCTGCCAAGGCGCAGGTGCGGGAATCCAAGTGCGCCGGACAGACTGCATCCCAGGCACCAGGAGACATCCTTGATTATCCCTGACAGGCAGGCTGGGAACTTTGCTGGGAACATTTAACGGTTGGCTACGAGCTCCTTGATCTGGAGGAGTCATTAGTGGTCAAAGAATAATGCTGGCTACTCTCAGGCACACAAAGCCCCAACCACTTTGGCCCTGCTCTCCACAACCGCAGATTTTTGGAAAGTGCAAGATTAAATTCATTTCCTAGTTCCAATGAAGATATAAAACCTAGTGTTATAAAGTGTGTTGTCAGTGAGAGGCAAGATTGGGAGCTAGAGATATCAAGCAAGTCCCACACTGGAGGAATTTGGTCTATAAAGAAAAAGAGAAAAATAATGAGCACTAGGGCAATATCAAAACAGAATGAAACCGGACATAAACCATCCTCATGGAAGCGCGTGAAACACCAAGATTCTAGACTGAGATGCAGCCCAAAACGACTTAAGTTCAAGGGGTGTGCGATGGATTCCGAGGCTGGGGGTGGGGGTGTAATTGCTTAACCACTGCTCTTACCTTTTGGAGCACAGCTTTGCAAGTTTCCCTGGGATGCAGGGCTGGGGAAAGGGGGTGTAGGAATCTGGGAAGATGACCCAGGAGGAAGGAAGACCTGTTGCTATGACAGCCATCTTCTAACCAAATGCCAGCATTTCTGTTAGCTCGGTTTGTTTGTTTTAAATGGCAAGCCCATTCCACTATTTCAGCAGTGTGTAAGATTTTGAAGAAGAACAAATGGCCAGTAAGAATATGAAAAAAATGTTCAGCATCTTTGGCCATTAGAGAAATGCAGAATAACTCAGAATAACTCTGACATTCCATCTCACCCTAGTCAGAATGGCTTTCATCAAGAACACAAAAAATAACAAATGGTAGGGAAGATATGGGGGGAAAGGAACCTTCTATAGTGTTAGTGAAAATATAAAATACTAAAACAATTATGGCATTTTGTATGGAGATTTCTTAAAAAAACTAAAAGCATACATTCCATTTGACCCAGTTAGGTATATTCCTCAAAGAATTAAAGACATCATACTACAGTGATTCATGCATACCCATGTTAAAGCAGTGCAATTCACAATAGCTAAGCTTTGCAAACAGGCTATATGTCCATCAACAGATGAATGGATAAAGAAAATGTAGTACATATACACAATAGAGTACTATTCAGCCATAAAGAAGAATGAAATCATGTCATGTGCAAGAAAATGAATAGGTCTTGAGATCATAATGCTAAATAAAGCAAGTCAGACACAGAAAGTTAAATATTGCAGGGTTTCTCTTCTATTATATGAGAAACCCAAAATATAAATAAAGAGTGAAATAAAGGAGAGATAATAAAAACACAAAGGCAGACTTTTTGAAGGTGGGGAAGAGGATCAGAGAAAAGAGGGAGAATAGGGAAGAGCAGGTAAAGGGACTGAAAAAGGCCAGGATGTGATGTCAATATATACCAACTTCCCAAAGTGGATAGAAATATTATATATCACAAACATGAATAAAATAAATAAAATGTCTTCTTCCTTCATAGAAAACATAATTTTCAGGGACAAGAATATAAAAACACAAATAGCAAAGACAATTTTCAGGTTACCCATCCCACACTTCTTCAGAACTCTATGTTTACTGTAAAATATCATTTCCCTCCAATATTTCAAAAGGCTTCTCGATCTCTCAAGAGCAGCACAGCTGCCCATCCATGGGGTGGAAAGCAGGTGGTCCGACCTCAGCTATGCGAGCGAGGAGCTGAGTCCAAAGTAGTTGGGAGAGGAGGGTGGGCTGACTTGAGGAAGGTGGCGCCTGCTGCAACGGTGGCCCTGGGCACTGAAAGGCCACTCTGTGAAACCACAGGGAGGTGGAGGCTGACGCAGTTCTTCAAAAGCTGCCATTTATACTGGAGACAAATTGCTTCTTCTTAGGACCCACGCTTCTTAAAATAAATGACAGAAATGGAGGCCCCGGTTTTTTTCACTCAATAATTCAAATGATGTTCTGACTTCTCAGTGCCTCGGGGAAGTTTCCATTTCTTTCTGTCTGCTGCTCTGCTGTGACTCATAGCTCACGGCTCCTGGGATCTGCACACGCGAACCCCTCCCTTCTCCCTTCTCAGCACCTGCACTGAGCCTCTGGCTCCTGCAGCAAGGTGGCTGGGGCCTGTGAGACCCCAGGAAGCCTGGAAGCACCCCACCACTACCAAGGAGCGGGCCGTGGGCCTCTCTCCTGCTGCCCGTTGCCCGCTGACTGCTCTCAGGCTTAGACAGCGCAGAGGACAGGAGATCAGAGCGAGGTGAGAGAGGAAGCCTCGAACAGAAACAAAACAGACTCAGCAATCAGGGCCTTCTCTCCTCAAATCTTCAAAGCTGTAGTGATGCCTTTAAATATTTTAATCCACACTTATTTTTACAAAGACACAATGGCTAAAAAGGTAGTGAATGTTTCTAATGACTTCCGGCAGAAGGGCTTGCAATTAAGAAGTTATCAGTGTGGACTTCTTTTAAAAGAGGCAGAGTTTTGTAACCATTGCCAGGGGATCTGCTTAAATTCTGAAGGCCATAAAAGCACAGTTAGTTAGGTAAATGTGTGGCAAGGGCTCAGCACACCGAATATAGTTACAAACACGTCAAACTTTTACCTACAGGAGAGCTATTTCTTATAGTATATGTTCATATGCTACAGTGTGGTATTTGGCATCTTGGATTCTCTATTTTATTGCTAGTCAAAAATATGTAATGCTGAAGTTTTGCTGCAATAAAGTTTCTTTTGCAGAGACCCTCTTACTGATTTCATTTTTGGAGGGGTGCATCACTGGAAAATTTGGGGTCGGTGTTCCCTACCTAATGTGGCTAGGCTTGGATCAGGACTGGAAATTCAGCATCTGAACTGCTGTGAGGAGAATGTTAATTGGCCATCCTATAATTAAATTCCATTCCACAACAAAGACACTGGGATTAACTTCACTGGATCTTCTCACTTCTGACTAATGCAGTCTTTGGAGTGCTGTAATTAATACAGATCTTAAAAGAATAACTTATTGCACCAAATAAGCTTGATTTCAGAAACAGATCATTTTTACAAATAAAAATATAAAATATGGTTCTATAAATTTAGAAAATGAAGCCTCTTCTATATTTAGATATTCAAAAATGTAAATTCAATCCTTTGTAGATGAAGCCAGTTTTATTTATCACTAGAGAAGGGTAAGTTTCAGAAACACTTGCAGAGCCAATTGTGAGACTGTTCAGAAGGAGAAATATTCCAAGCAACAGATCTGTCTTGGAAGAGTTCCAGTGTCTTGGGGATAACGTTGTATTTAATATGTTGGTGCATATCTCCCTAAGTGAACTTTGCCTCAAAGCATTCACTGTTACTTGGTTGTCTGTTTACTGTTCGCTTACTATGTTTTGGTTTTTTTTGTTGTTGTTGTTGTTTTTTTTCTGGTTTTTTTTTTTTGTTTTTCTCCGGTACCGGGAACCGAACTCACGACCTTGCGCTTGCCAGGCAGGCGCTTTTGCCGCTGAGCTAAATCCCCAGCCCCTCGCTTACTATGTTTTTATAATTTAAAAACAATTGTTAAAGCTGAATTTTGGAGAAATGCCTTTAGTAATATGAAAATATCAGACCCAGTCACTGCATTTTAAAATGCTTAAAACATTTTTTTATATATAACTCACATGCTACAAAATATATGTACATATGTATGTATGTATGCACGTGTGTAGGTGTATATACATATCTATGTATGCATGTACAAATGCACGCATGCATGTATGTCCAACCCAGGGCCTTTCACATGCTAGGTAAGTGCCAAAACACTGAACTACGTCTCAGGCCCAAATTCAACTATTTAAAATATATAATTTAACACTTATACCCAGCAAATTTACAGAGTGAAGTCATTACCATTATCTAAATGTAGAACATTTTTGTCACTACCAAAAGAAGTCCCACAGCAAGTCAGGCAATTAACCATCTACTTCCCACCTCTGTAGTTCTGCCTGTTTTGGATATTGTAGGCAAATGGAATCATAGGATATGTAACTTGCTGTGACTGGTTCCTTTCATTTAAGCATAATGTTTTCAAGGATTGCCATGTGGTGGCATAATATCTGTACTTTACCTCTTTTCATAGCCAAATAATATTCCACATATTTAATATTTCACTTATTCATTGAACAGCTGATGGGCATTTGGGTTGTTTCCACTGACGGCTAGTATCAGTAATGCTACTGTGAATATTCAGCATTTTGTATTTTTTAATCCAAATGATATTTCACAACAGTATTACGGACATTATTAAAACGTTTGGATCTGAATGGTTTTGTCACCAAAAATCAAGTTTACATGTACAAGGAGGAAGAAATCCATCAAAAGATATAGGTTTTCAAACCAGTAATAGAAAAATGTTTTAATGTTTCATTACAGAGAAAGCCTTGAGTAAAGAAATCATTATATGGCTATAAACATTTTAATAATTGTGTTCAGCCGGGCGTGGTGACGCAACCCTGTAATCCCAGCACTTGGGAGGCTGAGGCAGGAGGACTGCTGTGAGTTCAAGGCCACCCTGGGCTACATAGTGAGTTCAAGGCCAGCCAGGACTACACTGTGAGACCCTGTCTCAAACTGCACCCCCAAAAGAAAACTGTGTTAAAAAATTCAGTTACCCTTTTAGGTATAATTCACATAAAGATAAGGGCAAGAGAGGGCTTTTAAGTAATTATTCACTTTCATTGTCACAAAGATATTCTCTTCCTTCCCTAATTTGGATCACAGTGTACAACAGAATTTCTTTTTTTTTTTCAATTTGATAGTGACCTTAAATATTTTTCTTTAAACATTTCATTACAAGCTTTTCTCATAGTACACACACACACAAGCTACTAAAATGTGAGGTTCTTCTGGCTTTGACAAATTTTTATGATTTAAATATCAAAGATAATGGCCCAGGGAAAAAGGAGAATGGATAGCACTTTGATTCAGTGTGGCTTTACAGCAGTCACAGTGCTTCGTCCTTTCTATGAGCCGAGTTGGCTAAACTCCATAAGCTTCTTCAAGGCCAGGCCAGGTAGACAGAGACTTGCTTTCTTCTTAATACAACCAAAATTATCCTGCCTGAGGCTACAAGGACACCTTAGGAGAAGGGAGAAAACCTCTGGCCTTTGCAGTTCCTTCTAAGAGACTGGAAAAACTAACCTGGAGGAGACACCATCTGACTTTGGCCAACGAGACACCATGATTACAAACTGTTGATATTTCAAAAAAATGCCTGCATCCTTGTTTTCTCTCCCTTGGAGAAACAGTTTATTTCACATACAACTTGATTTCCTCTCCCATGAGAGATAGATCTCAAACCAGTATATTTTCCACTGGGGCATGAAAGCGGAAAAATTTAGTACATCGGCAATTTCCTAGTCATGCGGACTAGTTCAGAATAATAGGTAAAAAATCCCTAAGACTCATGTTTATTTATCTACCATAAACCGAGGGTAAGGCTTTGTGTTTTTTTTCTCTTTTTCCAAATAGGCTTAGGAAAAAAAAAAAGCTGAATATTAAACGCTACTCACAGAGATGAGCAGGTCCTTTCACTGTGATTCTGACACTTCGACTTCCCAGAGGTACGGCAATAACATTTTCTTCTTCTAGTAAAGAACAGAAGACAAACGGTAAAAACTGTGCATTGAAGGTTCATGAGAATGAACAAGTCAACTGATTCTGGGGCATTTTTGGAGTGTTCTTACCTACACTGCATTTCCTTCTTACAGCCAGAAATCTCTGGAAAGGACCAACTGCGTAAGGCAAATAAGTACTGTTCACACGCTTCCATTTAAATACCTTTCCAAACAACATTAAAGGAGAGTGTGAATAAACGCCCTGACCTATCAGCTCACCTGCCCGGGCTCCCCAGGCCTCATCAGTGCCATCTGCAGGCCCACGTGGCTACACCCATTTGTTTACAGTTGCTTCTGCTCCATGAAAGCCACACACAGCAATAGCAGCACGTGCCACATGGCTTACAAAGCCTAACATACACTCTGTGGTCCTTCACAGAGAAACCCAGTGATCCCCAGGCCTAGAGGTAACCAATTGTTGGAAATCTGGGTCCTCGTGGGTACTTTCTCACGTGAGCACATATTATGATAATCGTTATGCCTAGATGATAATCGAAACTCATATATGAACTGTGCCCAAGGACTCCCCTATCGATACTGGAATACTAGTATGTGAATGTGAATCACTTCAAGTAGATGCTGTGTTTTTGTTTCACTTACAGAGAACAAGTTTTTGGACAGCCTCTCCGAAGTGAAATTGGTGACAATGCATTTACTGATTAGTCTTAAAGTACCTGTTGAATATTGAAAATTAGACAATACAGATAAACCAAGAAAACAAAAACTATTTCTAATCCTACTGCCCAGAGATCACCACTTCCAACACTGTGATGAAAGCCCTTTCCAAATTTGTTTATTTGATTTAAATATAGATGTGTAAAAGAGAATAATTAATTCTATTTAAAGGTCCATCAGCATGGGAAAGGTCAACTAAAGAAGTGCTATATGTCCATACTAAGAAACACTCTGCAATAAATA